AAGGACAATTTAAGTAGCCCGAAAGAGTAGCAAATAAACCTACCAACCCATAGACGGGGAGGCTTCAAGAAAGCTTAATCTGTGTGTCAGACTCTGCATGTTTTGTGGTTAATAATTATTTGTCTTCTGAACGATTAAAATTTGAAAAAACGGAAAATTAATAATTAATAATACGAATGGAGACTTTTCACCAAATACTCATTCAACCAAGCTCTACATAAGTTCAGAGAAAGTCTTCATAATTTGTTTTTGTTGATTAAAATTTTACTTGCGGGTTTTTTTTGCAAATGTATATTTGCTTAGCACATGTTGAGCAGATAGCAGATATATTTTTGTTGGTGCTCCCATCAAATACTTACCCAGTAATGGATAATCTTGCTCAATTGCAGCTTCATCTTCCAAAAAGTTATTCGCTGAAACCTTGGCGTCAACTTGTCTCGCATCTTCCAAAGCTTCTTCAAACCTAGATTCTACTATAGCGTTAAGCATCGGATTTACTTCGTTGATTCTCGATATGTACGCTTTCAGGACTTCTTCTGCAGATAGCTGGAATGTATTAATTTACCGGAAGGTTACCAACATGGATGGGTTTTCGATGGAGTACCTCTTTTCTTCGAATTTTTCTAGCCAAGTCAACAGCGGGTATTCGCAAAATTGGATCAGTTACAGGAGAGCATTTACTACGTGTTTGAAACATCCGATATAAAAACACAGGAGCATAAGCAACATTTAGCACTTTAATCAGCAGGTAAACGGTAACCCGCAAAGACTTGGCGTACAAAGGTAATTTAGGTTGATGCCCATCAGCCAAAGTTCCCAATTGTGAGGATGATTTGCCATTTTGATGGATTGGAGCCTAAAACATTCATAAAGTAATTAAATAAATAGTTTATGGATCTGGATATATGCAATAGTTCGAGTTATTGAAGGCTAAATAAATATAACATATTCTGTAAAAAATAAAAAACGTATCGCATAAACTCTAGCGTTAATACGTTATGTATACGACATAAACCATGGAAAGTTATTTAATTACTTACTTATTATTGTTATAATGATTCTGATGAATAAAAATAATTAATGATAAAATGTGGACCTCAATTGCAATACACAATTGCGCAATTGTTTGCAGATAAAGTAAATAAACAAATTGTTGTAATTTTGATATATGGAATTTGTATCGGAAACATTGCCGGACACCTAAATTGAAACATAAAAAGCCGCCTATGCTCCGCGATAAGCCAAAAGCGCTCTTTTTTAAATACAGCTTAAAGTTTTAACACCAAAAATATGAGTTAGAGGTAATGTTCACATATCAACATTTTTTTTAAATAATTATTTTAAATGGCCATATCGACCACACAAAAAAAATTCTCGACCGCAAATAAAACAGTTTCTACACTTATTGAAAACTACATTTTCAGAACTGAGCTAATTTTACAAAGTGGATGAAGAAATTTTCTAAAAATGATGATTTTGTGATTGCTTTCAACTACTTTTCGATAAGAATTCTGAATCTCTATAGAAGTAGCTATTTGGGAGAATAAATAAATAATAAAAATTGTTTCGCTAACTGAAATTTTGTATGATTCACATTAAGCAGATAAAATTGGTCTTGAGGAAACAGAATGGAAGGTTGCAAGTCGACTGGGTTATTTATGATCGGATCTTAAAAAAAAAACTTTTCTAGACTAAATTTAATAAAAACAGACTAATATGAGTTAAGCAAAACATTACTAAACAAGAAAATAAGGGCTAAACTCTAATATTATCAATTCCAGAGTCGGTCCAGAGGAGAAGCGAGTAGCAGGACAATCAAAATTGGGTCGTCCCGTCTTTTCATCAAACGGGATCTCCGTAAGGTTAGACAATTTCTGACACAATTTCCAAAATTCTGCAATCTTGATGATTTGGATTGAGTCCCAAGACAAAACAACACTATTTTTCAAGTTTATACAAATTGGAAAATGTAAGAAGTGAGAAAATGTCTAAATTGTAAAAGCAATTACATTTTCTTGGCGTCTGTTTTGCCAAACACTCTGTACCATTAATGTTTAATTAGGCGATAGCTCACAACAGATTGCACTGACGGCAGTTTGGATATTTCGATTTACTCAAAAGAGTATAATTATTCCTGTTAATCCGCAAGAAGCTAATCGACAACTAAAAGCGCCCTTTTTTCTTGAAAACAGATTAGCAGGCAATTTTCCACCAGATTATGTTGCTTTTGGATACAGCCAGATGTTGCATGACTTAGGAAATGCGAATGATATGTATACATTATCATTTACCTCAGAATTCTGTTCTTTTAATAAATTGTCGGTGTTCTTGCCTTCAGTTGAAACATTGCCCTTGCTAAAAATCGTCGGTTTGTCCATGGTGATTGATAGAACAACTAAAAATATACTTAATAATATTTTATGGGTATGCACATTAAAGATAATGCTAAAACTATTTTCGTGTGTAAGTGGGAAAATAATATATGTTTTATCTATTATTATTAACAAAGCAAAGATTAATAATAAATACCGTTCTTATATTTGATGAATACGTACAGTTTGCCTTATTTGCTTAGCAACTTGAAATTAAAACAGGATTTAACAGAAGGATTATTCTGCGATATATTCGGGTACGCACAGTTAACATACTCCGTAGATGAAAATAAAACACGTTTGCAAACAAGATTTAATGTTTGCGCAGAGGAGACATCGAACTAATAATATTAACAGTGGGACAATTAATTGCTATACATGTTGAACTACGTATGCCGCTATACAAAGTTAATTAAGAGCAGTCTCATTATATATATTTGTTCTATTCGCAAATTTATTTCTGGTTATCAATGCTTATCGCGAAGATAAATACGCTTTTTTTAAACTGTATAAAAATGAAAGTTCAACATTCGTATTAAGCATATTTATGTATTGACTACATAACTTTCAAATATTTAATGATTAATTCTTGTTCTTTAGCGCATTAAAATGTCTGGGTGATTAAGAAAAAAGGAAAAATATTTTTTTTTAGATAATAATTTCACTTTAAGACATATATGTATTTATTGTATACAATTGTGTAATTATATGAGATGTTCTCCGTTAAGTAGTTAAGCACAAATTTTACAGATAATGCGACCTCATTTGAAATTGGCCTCATTCGTTATAATCATAAGTAAGTAAAATCATTTATGGAACTAAAGAAATCGATTATGTTTGGCAGAGATCTGAAATGCGAAATATTTTTTTTCTTATGCAAATAGTTTTAGCAAACTGATTCTAAGGGTCACTTATACAGCGTCGTCCAGTGTCCACGTCCACTATTAAAGCTTTGAGTCCCACGTAGAATCGAAAATAATACGAGTTTGCTTATACCTAGTTGTTAAAAGCATTATAAAAGCAAATAAAACTATATATACAAATGCGAAGTAATAAGTAACAATGTTTAGCAAAAAAGTCCAATACATTAACTAATTGCATACCAAAGGTTGGAAATTTTTAAATAATGAAATAAGGATATTTTAATTGTTCAATCGCTAAGTTGAATTTATTTAATCTGCCAAAAGAAATTAAAACTTTAATTTGTTAATTCTCACTTGAAGACCTGGTAGGATATTTTAAATAGCAAAACATCTTTTTTGAACGCAGTTAACGCCTGCACAATTCTACACACTTTGATAATTATTTTTAATTTCAACACCTCGTATTTTTAACACAGCATTTTTCGAATATAGTTTATAAAGCAAACTCACATTATCGTGCTGTGCCAAAAGTATTTCAAAAGTTATGACCAAATTAGCCCACAAAAGCAAGCAATTTGAAACGCCTACAATCTCGCGAACAAATAACAAGTTCAGAAACAGCCAGAAACTTTCACAAATAGAGTAGATTTTATTACTGTACCCGTAGGACCTATATTGTATTCTAATAATTAATTGAATAAAAACTGAATTTATATCCCATTTGTGTACTCGTCTATTTCGGATGAAGTAGTTAAAGATTTTTTGACCAGTGTAAAACGGACTGATTGTAAACAAGGTCAGCAACTTATTCAAGTTGTAATATTTTAAAATTTGGCATAATATATCTTATACAATATCGTAATATTTCAAAATACATCTAAAGCAATCAAACAGCAAGAGTTTGCCAGTAAGAAAAACGAGATACCGACTGTAACTGTTTAAAATATAGAGTTCCATGCAAGGATTAAATAATCGATTAACGCTTCGTGACAATTGTAATTTTATAACTAAATATTCTGATTGCACAGAAAGACGGATGTAGGACAATAGCCTTTTTTGATAAGAAATACAGAGTTTTACTGCTTACTACTATTATTTTAATAAATTAAATGGGTATAAATATTTTTAAAACTATGTGAACTTGTGGAGTTTAAAAACAAAAATATCGCCTTAAAATTTGAATTACTTAGGAACATCACAAACAATCTCATTAACAAATGTTGAACAAAAAAATATATTTCTTTTATAATGAGTTTCTGGTGAATGTTTATGTTTGAAATTTTAAAGTAAATGTATAATAATAATACAACTTGTGATTACAATAATGTGAAAAATTATTTGTAAGTAACGACTACTGATTCAAATTAATTTATTTTAATATCATGAAGAAGAAACTTAATACATGATATAGATAGAACACTTGCATATTCTTATTAATGGTACAAAAATTCCTACTACTAATTCTATTTTATTTTAAAGTAAATTTTGTAGAAATGTTTCGGATTTAATGCAAAACCCATTGGAATGCCATACACTTACCAACCGTAAAGCTTTCTTCACTAACGGGTTTTCGGCCAGACAAATGTTCGCTACTCAAACTGCTAAAGGTTAATAAAATCACATAATGTGAAAGCAAATGGCGAATTTGTTTTATTTATAAAATATCAAATAATAAACAATAAAACACATATTTTTGTGGATTTTGGTACTACCTACACTATTTTCTCTAATGCTAACTTTGTTAAATAAATATAAAACATTTACAACATACCTATAAGCTCAATCAATAATTTTCAGCACTAAAACACAATGCGATCCGCCTGTTAAGGTGACCCCGACGAAATTAAATATTCAGTAGCAATAATTAATTACTAAAAATTGCCATTCTGAAACGTAGTTGGTACACTTAAAACAATGTCGAATATCCAGCTAAAATACAAGATTTAAAAAAACACTAAAGTATTTACTTGTACCGCTGCTTATCAACCGCACACTGCAAGTACCGTAAAACTCGTATAAAGCATGTGCTTTTTCAGATACAGGTTGCATTGCTGTACAAGGGACGTGCAAAATTCGATTTGCAGTTATTTTACTTAAGAAGCTACAAGCGACTTTCACTTAAACATTTATTGTCTTCTCTCTACTGTATCATATGGAGGAATACTTTTCAAAACGTTGTCAAACAGATTGGTTCGCTTATTGGTTCCCCAATTTTTTTTAATTTAAAAAAATATTAGTAAAATTATTAACCACAAAAATGAACAATTAAAACACTAAAAAGTTATGAACTCAATTTGATCTCAAAAGGTTTGAAACTGACATTGTTATCAAAAGTTTCTACATTGCGGAAGAATAAGTTGTAACAACACTTACATTTTAAAAAAGCACGAGAATGAAGAAAGAAATAAACCAAACAGCCATACAATTGCAATATATTTTTGCGTATTCGAACACTATTTTTTCAGCAAATATAATTTTTAATAAAACGATAAATTAAATTCATTATTGTCAAGGTAACTTACTTATTTCCGATTTTTTAATTTTAAATTTAGAATTTAATTATACCCTACACCGGATGTGACTAGAAAGGGTTTTAAGCAATCAATCTATGAGCAAACAAGGAATTTATATATAACTCATATTCATATGTGAATCGATCACATTGGAAATCAATACACAATTGATTACAGCAGATCTAAAGATCAAAATAAAACTACAATAACAATTAAATTATTTTTATTAACTTTTTCTCCGAAAAGTTTAGTCTACTAGAAACATCACAATAATAACAACTGACTTCTGAGACAGTTTCGCAGTTTTTATTTGCATTTTCGTTAACTTTATTAAAATAAAGCTTTAAATAAAATAATGTTTATCAACAGAATGCTTACCCCTAATAAAAAGAATTCTTTATCGTCACCGACATATTACCGAATTAAATACTATCATAATTAATAATAGGGGAAAAATAATGTTGACGATGAAGCTGTAAAAATTTATTGACATGCTTTATAGACCATTAAGTGGCAGTGTCCCAGGTTACCTAATTTTTCCAATACTATTAAATTTGATAGTAGAATACAATAAACTTGAAAAGTAGATCACTGATATTATTTTACATCAAACTTCAAGCGTTTTTTTAACAAAATGTTAATTCTTGCTACTTACAAGCCGAAATACAATTTCATGTTTAAATATGCAACTCTCCAAAATATCATTGCTTTAGCCTAATAGTAGCATTTATTTCATCTTCTTCTGTTACCTCGGTAGTCGATTTGACGTATGTGGGTTGGCTTTTTCCTCGTACGCACTCATCAGTTACGTGAACTTCGGAAATACCTGCTCCAGGCACCTCAAACATGGGTTCCAACAACAAAGTTTCCTAAATAACATTAAACCTTGTACGTGCGAATATAACTGTTCGAGCCAAAGTTCAAAGCATATCAAGCAATTTTTAATTTAAAACTGTCAATTTTTCTTTCAATTTTACTTGAACAACATAAAAAAAATTATTATAAATTGATAGTATAGATATATAAGTAGCTAAATACTTTAACATTTCCCAGTCAAATGGTAAAATATTGATATTTCCAAAATGCCTTTTTATATTTAAAACAAATATGTTAAACCTTTCTTTGTATAATGATCTTCTATGAAACAGTTCATATATTATTAATAAGCTAAATTATTCAGTCTACTGTGATAAAAACAATAAATACACGCAATAAAAATAATAAATAAGATGACAAAACAAATATGTAGTAACAGTGGCAATCAAAAACATTATTGAAGCTGATAAACACATCAGTCCGCACAATAAGCCCTAACAAGGGGAAACATAAAGAAATGTAACAGTAATTTTGGAATGTTTTAAGAAAATCATAAGTGCTTTAGAACAAAAATATATATAAAAAATGTAAGTTATAAAATCGGGTTTAGCTAAAGGAGTGGAAAACAATGAGATTTTAAAAATTTTTATTTGGGCATTTTATTTAAATTACAAAATATTGCGAAGGCAGCTGGAATAATATGAATTTAATTAGTATATTTCATAATTAGTAAACTCACTTGCTTTACCTATATTTTCAGTTGTTGCTGCATATCTTCGACCGAAAGTAGTAACAAAATTCATCCACTTACCATTATTGCCCTCAATCCTCTTGCTCCCGTTTTCCTGTCCATAGCTTGAGAAGCTATCGCATTGAGAGCATCTGATGTAAACGAAAGCTGACACTGATCCATCGCCAATAGCCTCTGGTACTGGGGAATGAGTGCGTTATTCGGCTCCGTCAATATTCTCACCAACATTGACTGGTCTAAGGAGTGGAAAGGCACCAACACTGGAAACCTGCCGACGAACTCCTGGACATTCAATGAACAACAAATTATTATCAGTCAAGAGAATCAACCCTTAATGGTTACCGGAATCATTCCGAAATCAATGAGATCTCGCGCTTGCACCTGCCTTAAAGCCTGGTCCTTTTCCAAATTTTCTTCCTCGGCACTTTGGGTTGATGAATGAAGAGTAGCCTCTTGAGCTACTGCTCGTCTGCCCTGTCCAGCTGTGACTGGCGCTCCGAAACCTAAGTACTGTAAATCAAGACAATTAAAACCAGTTTTCATCCATCTAGCCTTACTTACATTTTCGTTATTTCGCCTCTGAATCAACCTTTCTAAACCGTTGTAAGCTCCACTAGCTACAAAAAGAATATTCGTAGTATCAACTTGAATAGTTTCGCCACGCAATTTCCGAGGCGAGTTTCTTTCAGGAACATTCACTATAGTGCCTTCCAACATTTTTAGCATACCTTGCTGTACACCTTCACCACCAACATCCCTAAATAAAAACAACTCGTGTCGTTGAAGTCGTTTAGTTTGAGGACTAATTCACAAATCTCACCTTAATTGATGTATGCCGGGCACCGCTCCGATTTTATCTACTTCATCAAGAAACACAATTCCAATTTGTGCTTTCTCAACACTGTAGCCAGCATCTGAAACAAACATTTTATTAAATAGCCATTAACAATTAAATTCGATTTCACTAAACACCTTGGAGTAGCTTTCCAATAACGGATTCAATATCCTCCCCTACATAACCGGCTTGTGTTAAAGTTGTACAATCACAAATGGCAAAAGGAACATCTAGGCACTGAGCAATAGTCTGAGCTAAAAGGGTTTTTCCTAGAACAATAGATTATTAATGAAAGCACTTGATTGAAAAATGTAGAAAATTACCCGATCCAGTAGGGCCCAGCAGTAAAATGTTACTCTTCTCCAACTTCAGCTCATGTGTAGTTCGGTCCAAAATATCAGAGCCGATTGCGCTTTGCGAAGTAGTCTTGGTGTAGGGCGGCTCTGTAGGACTAAAACTAAGCCCAATAGGAGCCTGCCCCATGCCTGTTATATGGAGCAAATCTGCGGTTAAATGAAATAAAAAAACTGTTTCAGAAAGCATGATTTCAAATTTAGGAAGAAGCGTTACATCTATTGTACAAAATAAAAACACTGATAGTGAAAACAGAAACCATGCAGAATTTTTTTACATAAACAAAGAAAAACGGGCAACTATTACAGTTATAATTTGCGTGGTTCTCATTTTGAAAAACTTTCAAAAAGCTAAATATTTTACCTCGATGAGTCATATTTTGATGAGGTCCTTGTTCCATCACAGACATATCCTGTCTGCTGTTACCTAGTTGATTGGGAGTGTTGTTGTATATCCTTTTGTAATGATTGTATACTGCTACAGATAAAACCTGCAGCAAATTAGCAAATATTAATATATACAGTTTTTTTACTTAGTCAAGCACACCTTTTTGGCATATTCCTGCCCGACCACATGTTTGTTCAAGTACTCATAAATCTTCTTAGGCGGTGGTGGAGGTTTCCTGTATTGACCATTCTTCAGGTCTACGCCCTCTTTCTTTTTGCTATCAACCTCGCTCAGTACCACAAAGAAATGGTGGCATTTCTCGCACTTTACAAATCTGAAATAAACTGTAGATCAATCCAAAGAAGTTGTCGATAATTGACGTTGAAAATCCCATACTTTACAATTAAACTAGATAGATATCTATTTACCTCGTAGAGCTAACAAAAGTCTCTACATGCGTACACGGATCGCCACATTTCGGACATGAGAGGGTGTTTTTGTTTTTGCCATTTCCTCCTCCACTGGCAGTGGAACTACTTGGAGGTTGAGTAGTGCTGGTAGGCGGTTCTCCAGCTCCAATAGTTTTCGAAAGTACAGCAGTAGTGGATATGTTTTTACTTGGGAGTTGTTGTTTTAAGTATATGGCAGACAAGAGACCTGAGAAATCACGATATGTATTTTTATACTCTAGATTTATTTTTTTTAATTTTTAGTAGGTATAATTAGTAGATATTTTGGCTATCGTTAATTAATATTAGGTATTTAGAAATCAAATCAGTATTTTTCGGGGTTGTATTATTTCAACTTGCTTTAAGTTGTGTACGTAAATTCCGAGTGCAATAAAGATACGGTCAAGGGTTAAATTTCCTCCAAAATAAATAAAAAAGAACAATGATATAAATCATAACAGCAAACATACAATGAAGCAGTTGCATCAATAGGAGATCGAATAAGTTGTATCAAGTCCAATGTCTCAAAAATATCAGAGAGAAAGGTCAGGCACATAACACAAGCTCATTATTTTTAAACCGGCTCATTACTAGTATACTATTTTGATATGAGAAGTTTTTTGGAAGTGTATAAACATTATTGTTTGGCTGCAGCTTTAATGTGCTGAGAAATACGCGCTTGATTTGAATTAGTTTGTTAAGCGTAGGCTAAGTTAACTTCAAATTACTATGCCAACTATTATTTAGATATATTAATATTTTGATCATAGAAACAATATTGTGCCCAACGGTTTTCATGAACATCTGAAAGGATGTTGAATAACACTAAACAACTTTTCTCAATTTCTCATTATTTAATTAATTAATGGATTACTCATTTAATTTATTCAATAAACACTTATTGACTTTGAGCACGGACTCGTAAAAATAAACTGTTTTCATCTCGCTCTATAGGTATAAACAAAAACATTGATTATGCCAAGAACTTTAATTTCCACGTCACTAATAAAGTATTACACAATGTATTTGGCTGTCAACCAAACTGACGAAAACGATAATTTTAAAGTTATTATTTTCAATTTTTATAAATTTCCACTTTTTTATATATAGCTTGCAGTTAGCCCACTGTTTATCAATGTGAAATAGATGTCATTGTTTTAACAATTTTGCAATATTAATACTTACATTTTTATTTATTTGAATAAATTTGAAAATTTAGTGTATATTTTTCAATTAACTGTAAAACCATATAAGTATTGCTTCGGGTTTTTCAATGTCATACTTTTTCCTGTATTGGAATGTACGTCTAACTACTAATAAGAAGAAAATTAATCTGCAAAGAGCAATCTATTTTTCGATGTACATGAAAACAAGCATATATAATTAAGAATAAGTTCGATTTGAAAGAAGATTATTCGTTCTCATTGAGCCAGAATAAATTGCTTACACTGAAATATTACAGTTACGCCACAGGTAGATATAGAAAAATCCTATTCAGCTGTAATTGCATGAGTAAGTGTGTCAGTATAATAAACAACGGTAAATTCAAACCAATGAATATTCGACTTTTAAAAGCAAACATAATCAGTATTGAAAACTATGTAAAACTATAAAAAGATAAAAGCCAGTTTTATTTAACTTATTGATTCGTTAAACTCGTAATTTATCTCTTTGAGTGCGCCCAGGGATAAATTAATTCCTTTCGTTTTTGAACATTGCATATTACGCCCAAATTTTCAATTGTTGCTCTACTCGTTTTATTAGTTTTCTTTTTCGGCTACAAATACTGTGTTGTATTCAGTTTCGTGTGCCTGTTCTTGTGCGCGTTCTGAATTAAGTTTGTAGTTTTTCAATATTTTTGCGTTTTCCTTTTAAATTTTGCTCCTTGGACCAATTTAATTCTAGATCTGATAACTCTTTGCAGTTTTCTTCTTTTACACTAGCTTGCTGCTTCCATTACAATACGTTTCAAGTTCTCTTTCTTGAGCTGGTCTATGCTAAATCATCAATAATTCTCTTATGACGTTGATTCTTATTACTTGAGTACCTGAATGTTGAAATTTTTGTCTGCTTGTAATCTTCTCTAGTCTATTACATATCTTCTCTACTATTCATTCATGTGATTGTTGGTCTGTCATACTTACTAACTCGCATCAGCGTGTAGATGAGCTTTACCCACAAGATTTGATTGCATTTTTGCAACAATATCCAATGAAAATTGATGTATAAAAGTAGATTCAACAGTAATCAAATTGTATAAAAGATTGCACGTATGTTGCACTTGCTACCAAATACTTTTTGAAAGTTTTTTAACTTAACTAAACTTAAAATAAAAAATTTGTTAAAATTTAGGCAAATTATCACCAAGTGCTGAATTCGCACAGTAAATTAGCATTCACAGATCAGAAACGTGTTTTCATAATATTAGTGGCATTGGTCCTGAATAGCGTTTAGTGTCAAGGCTCAGATTATAAAAAAACCTGTTTTTAGAGAACATTTAATATTTTATCATATGGCTTAAGAAAATTTATATTTTCACTTTTTCAGATAAAGTAGGTAAATAAATGTTTGACAAAATAAAGACAGTTTTGTTTGTTTCATATGAGATCATTTCTGTTGTGGCGGTTCTTACGTGCATTTTATATAATACTTTAGGCTAGTTCACCTTGATTGCATAAATATGTTAATAGCATGTAAATATTTCCCAGACAACATTTAAGGTTTCAGTGGGATTTTAAAATAGTAAATATAATACTACTAATTTGAGATCCACTGTGCCAAACATTACAATAATAACATTAATCGTCACGATCACCAACAAGGTGTTCAAGCTGTTTACAAAAAAATACAAGCAAATTAAAGCGCAATTAAAATATACTAGGTGTATTTTGGACTAACCTTGTTGGAACTTTGAATTTCTGGCTACAAAAGCATATTTTCCGGCTGTGGCCAAACTGCACCGAACACTAGACATCTTGAAATAAGACTCGGCAAGTCAATTGAATTTGTTTAAATTAAAACTATGAAAATCGTATGTTTTCAAACACGTAGTCCTTCAAGTTGATCAAGGTCTCAACTTGACATGACGCAACGGGCTGATAATTAAACGTTTTGTGTCCAAATTAGCTTAATTCACTCGAAGAAAAAACTGATTTCTTAATGTTGTAGATGTATATGATTTGTTGGGAGTAAAAGTCACTGGAATTTAAACTGAAACGAACGACAAAATCTTGATTTATAATGCCATTAGTGTGATGGTGTTTATTTTTGTGAATTTTGACAGATGAATAGACGTAAAGGTGACGTTAGCAGCGGCCACCACACAGAACACCTCTAAACGTGCAATATTTTGGTTTGTTTGGAAACCTGTAACGGTTTATGTAAAATAAATAATCCGTAGATGGCGCAAAAAGCGGTTTTCTTTGAGTATGATTAAGTTACAGCGTATTTTTATATCTCTGTTTTTTTCTGGCTTATTGAAATTCAATATATCTATCTTAAGTGGGCCAACTTCGTACGTTGTGTACAGAGTGAGCTGGTTAGACAATTCCGTAATTTGACACTGACAGGAAATATCTGACGTCGTCTGACAAGTATTGGGTGCGGTGAATTTTTGGAGACAAATTTATAAACATAATTCGAATTTTGATCAATTTTCCATTCATTAAAGGTGCTATATAGTGTGCAAACAACTTAACACTAGGGTAAGCTATTTGCACATAGTAATATTTCTATTTGATAAAAGTAGGTTTTACCACACCTAGCAATCGACATTATTTAAATCCTTGGTAAATTGCTATTCTATTTTTAATGTTTCTTTAATTTATGATACATAATTAAGTAGCGTTGATGTCTGAGTTTTGTTTCCAACCTTAACAGCATCTAATAGCAAAAATATATCTTTATTGACAACCTATTGCTACTTGGAATATAGAAGGAAACAGGGTGCTCTGAATCTAAATTAAATATTCTGTCGCCTTCAGGTCTATGTCCTGTGTCCGAAATACAATGCAAATGTTTGCTGTTATTGATCTATGCAGTTCTAGGCCAAACATGGAATAAAGTTCGGTTTATTCCACATTTATATCGCTGGATGGTTACTTGTTGTGCAATACCGAACTAAACCAGTGAAACATGAGGTCATAGCACTTATATTATGTCACGGTTTAAATTGGTTCTAACTGTATTTAGCCAAACGATTTTAAAATATGTCTTATTGAACAGAAGACGCTGTATCTGAAAATATGTATTAGAAGATCAGAAATGTAATCTGCCAGTTCCACTTTAAAGTAATAAAACTGCGATTTACTGCTTCATACTCTTTTTAATTTAGTTTTATTTTGATTGAAATTATTGTTTTCTACTTGGGGCTGTTTAAAATTGGCCCCGCGGAAAGCACAGTCTTCAATTTAAAAAAAAATAAACATTCATTTTTGTTTAAAATGAATATGTTTTTATTATATATATTCTTTATACATACTTAGGTATATCAAAGCCGGACGATCTGCACAAAAATAATTTATCTCCATCCTGAATCTCATATTTTTGTTAATTTATGATTTTTTATTCTTTTATAAGAAACAATTCTACGTATTAGACTTACGTATTTTTATTAATTAAGTAATAAACGTACTGATTTCTGAATGAATCAAAAGGATTATTATTGACCTGTGCAAAGACAGTACAAAGTCAATTATCTTTAATTTTTTTGTTGAGGAAATACTAAACCGGTCATGAGATTGTCTTCTTTTATATGTTCACATAGTTACATCATGGTTTTCTATTTTGCAACTTTTCTTGTTGCCTATTTACGAAACCGTTCATTTAATTAAGGTGTTTTTTAATCTCAAGTTTCGTTTCGCTTGATGCTAAGTTTCTACCCTTTTTTGGTCTATTGTTATCTATTTTTATTGTTTTTGTCTATGTATATCACCGGTAATGTTTATGAGACTTTTTATGCACAGGAACAAAATAAAATTCCTGAAAATTAAAAAGCAAAAACTTGTTTCAATTATCAATACCATCTCATCGTTAAATCAACGATATAATAAATATAATTCTCCGTATCATTCACAAGATTAGCTAAAGTGTTAGTTATATTTAGAAATGTGGCGTCCCAACGATTAAGACTCGGAAAATAAGAAAAATAGTTTTGTTATGATCGGTAACTGAACTAAGAAGTTGGAAAAATGAGGTTCTTTTTTAATTTATATTTTTGTATAATAAATTTTTAAATAAATTATACACATATTTGTTAATAATGCCATAAATATGTTATAAATTCGTACTAAACTGTTCGTAATTCGGCTCAAAAATTGATGCGAGATTTATTTGATGCATCAGTTCACATAAACTTGTGGCCATTGTGTTACGCTCTGCCTGCTTTCCCGTCTGGTGAAAGCGAGCTAATTTTTTATTAATTAACAGTACATTACAATATTGAAGTTGAATAAAAATGACTTTGTTTGGTTTGTTACTGATTGATTAAGAATACTGTTTTTAAACGTTATTTACAAGAAATAATTATTTATTGATTATACCTGTATGTCATTTGAACATAATGCGGTTCTTGGCGCAATGCCCACTGCAGAATTAAACGCAGACGAGCCTTGGATAATTGTGCAAAATCTAACTCTATTTTTTAATATAGGTATTATTAAAAGTAGGATTTAAATCATACGGCGTTAACTATTTTAGCTGTCATCGTTTTTTAGATTTATTTCAGCATCATCAGGGTATTTGATATCCGCTAGTAACGAAACAGTTTTTCTAGCTGAAAGTACGATTACATTTACAGTTGGTGAAAGAACCACATTTGTATTATCCAATAAAGTGTGGCGGTGAAATTAGCTATGTACATAGTAAAAAGAAATTGCATTAAAATGATAAATTAAAATCCACAAACGTTTACATGTAAGACTGCACGTTGTATTCAAAAGTTGAATATACTTTAATTGTTAATTTAAATTTTAAGAAAACTATTTAGTTGTTAACAGTTCCAATTATCAGTCTAACTGATAATAACTGTCCCATTTATATATGTCTGTGATAACTGTCTCGTTTTCTGCTGTAGAACAATCTGCGTCTTCTGAATATTTTGGGGTTTTAATTGCTTAGAACCTTTTATGGAAATATTCATCATAAATTTTGAAAGGACAATCTAACAATTGTAATAATCAGTTGTATTAGAGGAAATAATTGAATGTATAAGTGAGTAATCCATAAAGGTGTACATGAAATTTTGGAAAACACTTCAATGGCGATTGCAAAACCAATCTGTTATGTTCTTAGATAAAGATAGATAAATATTCGAATCATTAAATTGATAAAAATTTGACAGAGGCTATGACAAATATGATAAACGTACTTAAGCCTGGCAACTTAACTGTATAAGCAGTAATTCGGGTAGGTTACAGCCCGAAATAACCTCATTAAAGAAATATCTTAAGGTGGGCCAAGTTACACATTTTTAAATCAGTTATCATTTCTTTTTTCTATTCACTAAATTATCAACTTTTCTTTAGGCTTTAACGTTTTGCAGCATACAATGAAAATTAACTAAACATCAATTAAGTGACTTTTTTTAACAGAATACGATTAAAACCGGTAGTTCGCTGAGTTACAAAGCATCACCATGGATCAAATTCCTCCTCCGAAAGAGGTAAAAATCCTCGAAACTGCTGAGGACATTCAAGAGAGGCGTCAACAAGTATTGACTCGATACGACAACTTTAAGGCTGATGCTAGAGCGAAGAGAGAAAAGCTAGAGGATTCTAGGTAAAGAGCCTATTACATAAGCAATTTAAGTGCCATATCAACAAGTGTATCTATTCAGGCGATTCCAATATTTCAAACGAGATGCTGACGAGTTGGAATCATGGATTTTGGAAAAACTTCAAGCTGCTTCTGACGAGAGCTACAAAGACCCGACCAATTTGCAGGCAAAGATCCAAAAGCATCAAGCTTTTGAGGTAGGAATACATAATAGGAACTACATAGTATCTGTTGACTACATAGCGTTTGGTGTTTTAGGCTGAAGTTTCAGCGCACAGCAATGCGATTGTTGTGCTGGACAACACTGGACGCGAAATGATCAATCAGAACCATTATGAATCGGAAACTATTCGCCGACGACTTGAGGAGCTTCACCGTTTATGGGAGAAATTGTTATCCAAGCTCGCAGAGAAGGGAATGAAACTGCAGCAAGCTCTGGTTTTAGTGCAGTTTATCAGGTGCGCTTGGAGAGCCTGAAAATGTTACGTCTATAAATAACACGGATTTTTGCTCACAGGCACTACGATGAAGTGATGTTTTGGATCAATGAAAAGAGTGCATTTCTATCTACTGAAGAGTTCGGCCATGATCTGGAACATGTGGAAGTTTTGCAGCGCAAATTTGATGAGTTTCAAAAGGACATGGCTTCTCAGGTAGCTCGATTACTGAATAATTTGCAATAACTATGCAATTAAAAATGTCATTAATAGGAATATCGTGTCACTGAAGTCAATGAATTGGCCGACAAACTTCTGCAAGACGGTCATCCCGAAAGGGATCAAATTACCAGCAGAAAAGACGAACTGAATAGTGCCTGGCAAAGATTGAGGCAGCTGTCTATGCTGCGTCAAGACAAATTGTACGGCGCTCATGAGATTCAGAGATTTAACAGAGATGCTGATGAAACAGTAAGTGTATCATTCTAAAAGTCCAAAAAACCTAAATGTTTTTTTTGCCATTTATAGGTTGCTTGGATCTCTGAAAAAGACGTAGTCCTATCATCCGACGATTATGGCAGAGATCTAGCAAGTGTGCAAGCCCTTCAAAGAAAACACGAAGGCGTGGAGAGGGATTTGGCTGCTTTAGAAGATAAAGTTTTGACTTTGGGCAAGGAAGCTGAGAGGTATTTTGAACTGGAAAGTCACTCTTGGGCAATCAGGTGAAAATTACTTTTTGTTTTAGGCTCTGTGCAATTCACGGTGACCATGCCGAGCAGATCGAAGCCAAGCGATCTGAAATTGAAGACTACTGGCAAAGTTTAACTGCCAAAGCTAAAGAACGTCGCGAACGACTCGAAGAGTCATACGCTCTGCACCGTTTTCTCGCCGATTTCAGAGACCTTGTTTCATGGATTAACGACATGAAAGCCATAATTTCGGCAGATGAATTGGCTAAAGATGTGGCAGGGGCTGAATCCTTATTGGAACGCCATCAAGAGCACAGAGGCGAAATTGATGCTAGAGAAGATAGTTTTGCTTCCACTATTGCCGCTGGCTTAAATCTTCTGGAGAAAGGACATTATGCTAGCGACGAAGTCAAAGAAAAGCTTTCCAGCTTGGAATCC